GTTTATGATTTAAATATGCCTACAGCTACGATGTTTTCCTAAAACTAGTGCAAAAAGTAACTTGACGGTAAGGTTGGCTCAAGAAATGTATTTAATCCAAGAACATTTTGGCCTTAACGTAAATACTGGAATTTTCCAATTTTAAACCCCGCCAGGAATCGAGTGAATAAGATTCCTGAACGCTGGTGATTCGTCTCTACTTTAACTCTTGGCGAACAACCTTTTTTTTCTTTTGAGGAAGCGGGGTTGCTCCTTATGCAGGGTTAATTTTCGGTCCTTTTGTGACTTTTTGTTTTCCCTTAATTACTGCATACTAGACGATACGGGAAGATCAAGTACAGTAACAAGTACGTATTCTGTGATTTAACAAAATCTTTCCAAGACCTGTTGTGAGAGAAGAACACACCATACATTATTTTTTATTTTTGTTAATTAACTTGCATCAGATTTCTCTATTTTGAATTGTCACTGATTTTAATTCAAAACAAGATTATAAGGAATTGGAACTTATCTCCGTCATGTAATTATTCCAATCAACCGTTGTGTTGTGATTTACTTGAAGGAAGCTTTCGTTCGCAAAAATCAGTACATGCTAACTGGTATAGTAGAAATGAAAGGAATGCGTGATCCAAGAAATTACATTTGGATTCAGAAAACTATTTTTACTGTACTTACGTACTATTATTCCGTTGACCATGAAACTGTCGCCAAGCAGCACAATTTGCCGCTAATTACAGATAAGTGTGACGTAACAACCAGCCATAACATACGTGCTTTCGTTTGATGTAAACCCGATTCTCAATAAACCTCTTTTTTATGAACAAAAATATAAATTAGTTTTAATTGCTCCATTTTTTTCCACTTTATATTTTGAAAAAAAAATCATTAAAATTTTGGACTTGAAATTAAAATTAGAACTGCAAGCAATAAATTATTTTCAATGTTATCGGATCCTACCATAAAAAAGTGCGTAGTAATGGACATGATAACTTCAGCTGCATAGAGCCAAAAAATATAATAAATTCAAACAATTGCGTGCGTAGATTTGTACTCAAAGCATTCTAAACATAACTTGTGATAAAATAGGAGGGCTAGGATATAGTAGAAATTGACGAAAGAAAGCATTTTTCTCAACTTCTAAAACGAAGTCGATCGAATACTCATTGCTTGTTGCCAACTTTCACCATTCAGCGGTAGCCAACTTTCAATTCGAAGGGATAATACGTATTTATTTTTTTTCTTTCCGACATGAACGAAGGATATGTAACCATTTTGGCTCAGGTCACATTTTAATTTCGTGAGATGGTTATTAGAACACTATCTTTTAAGACACAATAACACGCCGAATAAATACTAATTCAGAAGTCAAACAACAAAAATCAGCGTTATACCTACAAAATTTTCACAGGACTAGTTTCGATGGTTTTACCGAACCATCATCTTCAGCTGCAAAACCGCAAATGAACAAGATAGGAAATAATAATTAGATAAGATAAGAAAGCCTGGACAAGAATAAGCAAGTGGCGCCATCTGTTGGCGAAACCAGAACTAAAACATAATTTCTCTAAAAGCCGAAGGCAAATTTGGATTGGAATTAGGATCGTTAACTAGAACAGAAAGATTTTTATGAATGTGAAATGCCTCTAGAAAATCCAGTTCTCCAATGGAAGATGTTTTTTGAATAATTTTGGCAGCAGAAAAATTGAATGTGTGATTTTCGGACCAACAATGTTGAGCAACAGATTTTGCAGCTGTTTTGCAGCTGAAGATGATGGTTCGGTAAAACCATCGAAACTAGTCCTGTGAAAATTTTGTAGGTATAACGCTGATTTTTGTTGTTTGACTTCTGAATTAACACTATCTTTTGTTAAGAAGAATATCTGTTTACTGGTGAATCAGGAAGCCGTTTGTTCTCCTCTTGAAAAATACTAGATCATGAAATCCTTCGCAATTAAACCATTTGAAGGCCAAAACGCCCGAGACAAGCTTTCATTCAAACGACCACAATTACCTAAAACGGCCGATATTGCGATGTCGTTTTCTTCCCTTCTCCTAAGATATGTAGTAACAGGAGCAGTTTTGTCAAATGCATTTTATCAGTTAATTGCAGACAGCTTGTCCTACAACGCTAATGGAAGCTTCTTTCTTTGGAAGTAGAAAGGATGTCGTTTGAAATCTTCACACCTCTTTGTGCGTTAATGGATGAGGAGAGGAGGAAACGGACGGGACGTGTAATGAACGGAGGCGGGCATTTCGGTATTTTAAGGATATATGTTAAAGAAGGTTTCGGTTTTCTAAGGTATAAGAAATAAGCAAATAAACTGATTATACGAAAAACGTAGCTGTGCGAGCATTGACTACAGAGGCAATTATCGCCACAAAAGAAGGGAAATCAGATTGGAGGCATCTGGCTCGAAGATAATGCGCCAGAATAAAATAGCACCCAATGATTTGGCATTAACGGAAAGAAACCGAATTTTCCTCTGAAAATGCTTCATAATAACATTCTGCCTAAAGTATATAGTCCGATTAACCGTAATGGTATAGGGATAATGCTCACGTCCTCCGTTACTATTACTATTACTAAAGTATGAAGCACTACTTCAGTAATTAAATTTACTAATTTTATATCACTGAGTTTACACCCTCTACCATTCTTTCACGCTCTATCTTAACAACTCAAATAGGACCTAATTTTTTTTTTTTTTCATTTTATGAAACTACGGTTCTACTACTCAACTTGATTTAACACTTAACAGCAATTTTCTCTCTTTCCAGTGAAATGGATCACGTTTAATATATCCAATGGTCATCTCTTTTCACCGTTTTTTAATTTTCATTTTCCATTCATTTTTCTGTTTAATTAATTTAACTGTTATTAATTTATTTTCCCTTAATTTTATATCTTTTTTCCTTTCGATATATTTTGCCTTTTAGGCTGTAACGTTCCATTCTCAACAAGCATAACTTTGTTTCATTTCCTTAAATTTTAAAGATTTAATTGCTTTTATTTAACAGCAGTATTTTACCAGTTTTGCTATTTCTTAGGTCTAAATATTTCGAAAAATATTAATTTAGCTTATTATATTTAGTTTGACCAACATCATGTGAATGAATTTTTAGTTCTTGTATCACACTTTTCCTAAAATCTCGAATGAATCTTCATTGCCATTTATTAAATTAATTGTTTTTCCGAATATTCAGCCCTTTGCTTGCTGAAATATTTTAAAATTTCGACTAATAGGTTACATTCTCAAAACATTTTTCTAGCTTCGTTTTCTTTAATTATTGACTTTAATTGTTTTTAGTTTGAAACAGATTTTCACAGTTTTTAAAAATGTGAATTTAACTTATTACTTCTAAGCTGACCAACTGTTTTCATGTCTGTAACTTCGAAAATTTTAATTTGTTCTGTATTATTCGTTTTGATTCACGTAAGAGGAAATTATATTATCTTGATGATTTATTAAAAATTCTAAAAACATATTTTAATTAGTACTAATGCTTTGTTTTATTGCATCACATACCCATACTAAAAATTTTTAATGGTGTTGCATTATTTTAATTAATTTAATTTGTTTTTTATTTGACGCTTACTTTTGATTAAATTCGTGAAATTATAATCATCTAGATGTAATTCAGAGACGTGGCTTTGTGGAAAAAAATTCGGTGGCTGGTTAAAAAAGACCAAAATTTTAAGCTATTGGTTTTAATAATAAAATCAATATCTGAAATCCACATAAAGTTTGTGAAATTGCGTATTCGTGTAAAATTACCTTTTTAAGTTTTTGACTACATACTTTTAACGAAAGAAATAATGTTTAAAACAATTTTAAATCAGTTAAGAGACCTGTGCATTGATTTAACAGGAAATGTAAATTTTTGAAGAATGTTTTGCAAGGTTTTCGAGCCTTGATATATATTGTAAGGCATCTAGATTCCTAGGTATGAATCTAACTATACTAAGCTATTAATTATAATAATTAACATAATACTAAGCTAATATAATTTTTAAAATATACTTTCATCTCATCAATTTGAATGCCCTTAAAACTTACATGGTTTGCGAAATTAAATACATATTTTCTTGAAAACCACATGCTTTTCTTATCTGATTCTGATTTGAAATAAAGATTAATACATTAATGAAAACATTAACTGAGTGCTCAAAGTTGTGGTTAATTATCTTATATAACGTCCCCCCTCAAAAAGAGGTTCTGACGTCGATAAAAACATACAAGTAACTCAAGCTTGGAAACAGATCCAAAACAAATACGGAAAAGGGTACAGTGGATGATATAAATAAGGGTCTTAGTATAAATCATAATGTAAAATTACATTATCCTACATAGCAAGAAAAAACAATTAATTAAAAACGTGTGTTTATTTTATTTTTAAACTAAATCAATATAAATGAATGTTGGATGTTTTATTAAGAATCTATAATATGCAGCCTCATTTTCTTTCAAGTTTAATAGAAAATTTACCAAAAATATAAGAAATAAGTTCAAATATTGAAAACAAATGTTATTATTAAAAGCACTACTTAATTTTTCTAACTTTCCTTGTTATATCAATGGTTTTAGCTAGGCTAAAAGGTTATATAAAAGAAACCCCAAAACAATTGAAAAATTAATCGCAAACAGTCGAACGCATGCCCTTTTCCAAAAATTAATGACTTTATACTGGTAGAGAAAATTACTTCTGATATTGCAAGAGTAATTTCTAGATAATTGCTTTCGCTGTACTAGAGGTTAGCACTGAAAGGCATTTGACAGCCACCAACGCAAAGTAATAACAAACAGTTCTAAAAAGCACATTTCAACAATTGTCAGAGATATTAAAAAAATAAACTCCCAATCATTGAAGGAACCACATACGAATGAATCATACGTCACTGAAACGAGTGTTTTCCATTGGCCAGCAAAGTTGCCTTCGCTTCTGCCCATGCACCGTGACGTCAGGATCGTTTAGCGAAGATTCAGAGAACGGATTTTGGAAGCTGAGTTTAAAGGCGAAAGAGATCTGCAGAGCAACTGAACACTTGAAATTAACCAGTCTGAGACCAAATCAAGAATAACTTGTGAGAATTTTTTTTATTTTGGAAGATGGACAGCAACCTGATTTTGATTCTGACTCTTCTAATATTGGCAGAAACTAGTTTTAGTTTTCCTAGGTAAGTCTTCTTATATCCCATTCCTGTTTTTCCCAGCTCATAAGATGAATATCAACAAATAATAAATAACGGTAAAAGTAAATTATATGTGATTACTATATTAAGAACAAATATTTTACATTTAGTGATGTTATTCTAAATTATTCTTTAATTTTTGTTCTAGTGGAAAATGCTTTGATTTAACTTAATATTTAATACATATAATGCATATCAATGATTACAAAAGTTTTAAAATAAATGTACGGAAATGCATGAATAATTTAAAAAACCTTTACAAATGAAGTAAAACTGTTACATTTTAAGATTAATTAAAAAAATTAGTATGTAGACTGAAAGTAAATAACTTTGAAGCTTCACGAAAACATACACATTGACACTGAGAAGTAATTTGAACCAGAAATATAAGTTTGTAGATTTTTCTCGCACTTGTACCGTAAACTGTCTGTCGAATATAATATGAATTTTGTTATTTTTATATTTTACTTTAAATATTTTCTTCTGATAATACATATACTCATAAATATGCTTAAGATCAAAATAAATGATCTTTCAATCATTTATTATTCTTATGATAGCAGAATATGATTAATCATAACAAATAACTGAATGATCATTTACTGCGATCATAAAAAATAGCTTCTTTAATCAAATCGTAAATAGCCCTATTTTCTATCTTTTATGTTTTTTAAAATTTCAAATTGCTTCTTTTATCAGTTACTGAGAAGTGAAATTCAGTATTGTAAATAAGATATCATTTTACGTATTCTGACAATCACCAATTAAAAAAATATATTTTGATTATTAAGTTTGTAAATGAACTGATATATCTAATCAAAGCGCTGCGATGCATAAATGCATACATACTAATTTAAAGATTAACAGTTAATTTATTGAATTATTATAATGTAACATGGCGAGGTCCATTAATCGCTAAGTACACTTTATTTTATGTAAATGTATTGAATTAGCGATATAAGTTTGCAGAAGCATTCGTGTATTATATTTTTAATTTCCCTATTCTTTATTCTAATTGACTGATTTAAAGGTTAAGTATTTTAACCATAATGAAGATAGATCATAATTTGATTCTGCTAAATATGTCTTCAGTACACTTTTTTAATGGTTGTAAGCTTTCGACCAAACGAACATAATTACGCTTTTGTATACTTTGATGCATTTGGTTGCTGAAAATTTAACACCGCACACATACAATTTTATCATTTTATAATTATTTCTATAACTTACGGTTTCAGGTACACCAACAGCCGAGCAATAAAACAGCTGAACACTGGTAGTTTCGATCTCAATTCGATTCCACGCGAACAAGCTTGGCCGTTTTCCAACTTTCCCCCATGTCATCGTATATACGAGTCAACTTTCCTAAGAAAGTTCTTCACGAAAGCATCCCTTCCCCCAAGCAGATATAGTCCTAGTGTTGTTTGCCATAAAGAACTAAACCAAACCAATCGTAAGGCTGCAAGGATGAACTAAATACAATATAGATCCGATTTCACTTAAAATACACAACAAAGGTGCAGTTCTCGTAACTCAGTGTGCCAGCCAAGTTGCCCTGGCAGCGCAACACTGATGACTCTGTACTGCTTGATTTTATGCGGTTACACGGTAAAGTTGCATGAAATATTCGTGTTTTTTACGTCACATAAATAACGATAAGTTTCTCTTCTACAGTCTTCTGAGAAAATATCTTTTTCCATAGATAGATAGTTCGAACGTACTTTCCAATAATAAAACAATCCGATCCAATCCAAATGTTGAGCGTAATTTTGACAAAGCCTATTCATAAGTATGATTAGTAAAAATGATAGATTTAATATCATGCTGAAAAACTAATAATTACACAAAATTACACTCTCTTAAAAAAGAGAACAAATAATGATATAGCACCTTACACACCTCATATTAAAGCAAGTAAAAAGTTTTTAAAGTTTTTTAAAATTGTCTGCAGTATGTTTTTAGGTAAACAAGACAAGAAGTTTGGGAACTTTCGATAATATGAAACTTTTGTTAACATTCTATTGGTTATTTATTTCATACTAATATACAATAAATGACATATCTCTAGTATCATTTCAATTCCGAAATTTTTGCATTTAATTCCGTATATTTTACATACTTTCGTTAACAAAAGTGCCAAAGTATTTGTAAAAGAATATCTTCGTATTCCAAGAGAGATTTCCGAGTTGATGTAATTGAAACATTTCCTGTTTTAATGAATAATTTCCACTGTCTTTTAGCGTCTATCTGATCTAACGTTTAAGCGAGAAAACAAGGAACTGAAACAAACGCTGTCAGGTAAGTATTCCGTTTAAGCCGCTGTATTCTGATTCATCAGATGCAAGCTTTGTTTCTCAAAATTAAATAGACGTTTGCTGTTGACACCATAAACAAAGGAATCGGCAATAACGAAAGTAACACATGATCTAACACACTCCGTCGGTGTTTGGATACGTCTTCTTCTCTCCTGGTAGAAACAAAGACTGAATAGCCATTTTGGCGAGTAAATTAACATTAACAAAAAAAGTACTGTGACTTTAATTGGAGTTATCCAATTGTAATTAACAATTTCAATATATATATATATATATATATATATATATATATATGTAGGGTGATTCTAAATTGTTTTTACAAATTAAGAAGGATGGTAGTACTCATTCAGATGAGGAATAATTACCATAGAACATAGGGTCGCATTCCACTCTGGGAGGGGCCAACCAGCGGCCGAGCGGTAAAGTCGCTGAACACTGGTAGTTCGGTCCAAGGTTCGAATCCCATGAACGGGCTGGCTGCATGGATGTTTTCGTGGTTTTCCCCATTGTGTAACGTGCATATGAGCCAATTTCCCTTAGAAAGTCCTCCCCGAAGCCCTCTAGTACTTTGCTGTCATCAAATAAATAAAACCAAATCCATGTAAAATTGCAAATGTTTTACACAAGGAAGAATACTCTCAGACCTTGAAGGAAAATAAATAAGTTGAGAATTCAAAATAAAGTTATTTATTAAATTACAAAAATGACAGTAAAGTTAAAAATTTTAGTACAAGTACCAACTTCTATTACATTCACTAAAAATGTGCCAGCTGTGCTTCTCAAACATGGCCTTTTTTTCCGTTTTGGAAATCTGAAAGATTAAAAATTTCTTTTTCTGTCGAAATAAACATCAGATCTGCCACTGACACACATTATAAAACTACAAAAGTGCGAAGTTAACTTTATGTTATACTCAAAAGTCGGAAAGCAACAGCTAGAAAACTAAGTTCGTAAAGATGTCTTCAATGTATCATTTAAAATTTGCTCTTTCAAGTGATTAACTACTGATATTTTTTCAACGTTTTAATATTGAAACGAAGAATCCTCCACGAAGGCATCCCTTGCCTGAGGCAGATAGCCCTCGAGGCTTTGCCGTAATTAAATAATCTAACCTAACGTAACCACTCTGGGAGGCAGAAAAAAGGAATACTAGAATTTCAATCTGAACTTGCAACAGTTTTGGGAGAGCGAATAAACAAGACCAAAAGTTGCACAATCAGTTCAGTGAAAAACTCACGGAGATTACACAAAACGGATAAAACAGAAAGCTTGGCACTTGGCATTCGAGTGTTAATTCGAGTTCAGACTTGGCATTCGATTATCTATTGGGGGGGGGAACTGCTACCTTGATATCAAGTATCAAAGTAGCAGTTTTTTCCTCTTTGCCATCTTCTATCCTGTTGTCCTGGACTTACTGTGCAGCACTCATTCTATTTGAAGCGCTCTTCTAATGGGACACGAAGTTCTGACAGCCGGAAAGCAGCATGAACTTTTCATTCTAATCTCGGCATTCAGCGTAAGTTGGAGTTAGTTGATAATATTCAGCCCTTGATTAAGTAATTACCTTGTTACAATCGTTTGCGAGGTTGAGACCTTGCCGACCAAAGATATGCATCTGAGTGTTTGCCATCAAAGTCTGAGCTCGAATTAACACTCGAACGCAAGCTTTCGATTTTATCCGTTGCGTGCAGCAAGTTTTGGTCTCGTTTATTCGCTCTCCCAACACTGTTGTAAGTTCAGGTTTTAATTCTAATATTCCTCTTTTCTGCTTCCCAGACTGGAATGCGACCCTGTGTTCTATGATAATTATTTTTCATCGAGTACTATCACCCCTCTTAATTTGTAAAAACAATTTAGAATCACCCTGTATATATATATATATTAACACTCCGTAAATTCCGAAGATCCGATATGTATTAGAACTATCTACGGAACTTTTCTGTAGTAGGGGGCAACACACACCAAACATTTTTCTGTAGAACGATGTACAGACGAGGTTAATGCTTCCAGTGAGAATCCTAATCAGATCATTTCATATATAGCCGTATGAGACAAGGACCTACTAATGCTCGCATTACACTGACTAAAAATGTATTGGGTCATAAGAAAAGTTTCAAACACTTGGTAATTCAGATTTACATACTGGCTAAATATGTTTTCATTGCCTTGTGTATCTACATACCATATTACATTTATTATGAGGAATAACATTAAACTAACTGATAACTGAGATCTTTTAAATACCTTTTCTTTAAATACGCATGTTAAGATACAAATGTTACCGAAAAATTTCTGAGATTTTTGTTTTGTTGTTGTTAAGTGAACAGACTTAACAATTTTTCATTGGACTCGCGAAAAATCTGAGAAGATAGAAATTTAAAACAAGCTGAATCATTGAATTAAAAAAAGTCTGTTATTCAGTAATGATTTCGAAATGCCGTAGAAGGAATTTGACTAAAACAAACCTTATATTCCAGTCTTATTTAGCATATTTGGGATAATTTTCAAGATAAAATTAATAAATTCAGGATTTCCAGTTAGAGATGAACTTAGAGAAAAACCCACTACAAAACGTGGAAAACTGGAAGCAAATATACTTACAAAATCTTGTGATATCCATGCCGTCAAGAATTAGTGAAGTCATGACACGGAAAGCAAGCCCAAAGCACT